ATTATGACATTATCAGACAACAAACTGATACTCATGACTGGTTAAGTTCTGGATTATGACATTATAAAACAACAAACTGATACTTATGATTGGTTAAGCTCTAGATTATGATATTATCAGATAACAAAATGATACTCAAGTTAATATTCATGAGGACAGTTGTACAGTGACAATTAAAACAGGAGGCAAAGAAAATTTCAAATTCTCAGTACTTAAAAGTAAATCATGTTTTATCCACATCGTACCTATAATCCTCAGCATCAAAATCTTTCTATGATAAAAAGCTGGGTATAATTTTCTTACCTTAATGTAGTTTGCATTAATATAATCTGAGCCAGGGACACCTGGGTAATCTGACAGTGTAACTCTTGTGTGGTCATCTACGAGAAACATAAATATTCAACAGAAATTTATGAATAACATACATAACATCACAAATATATACATGCCCACATGCACTATAATTTATAATCTTGGAAAAAATCCTATTAATTACTGTAAAAAATTAAAGATATATAGATAAACTTCATGTTATTAATGTAAGATGAAGGTTTAATAATCAATAAAACACATCTATAAGATTCATTTTACAGTTGATAATCTTATACGTATATTAACCTTACAAAAAAACACAGTTTTAATGCAAAATAATAAATTTAAATTTACCATAAAATTATTGAGTTGTTTTTATCTACTTACAGGGTAATATGTCCTTATATCTGTTTTTCCGTCTGTTGACATCCATTTCTCCCTGAGTGCAGGCATAATTATGATCATGTTTTAATCTCTCTGTCAACTCTTTCAAGTTCTGAAAAAAAAATTGATATTACACACATCTACATAAAAGACCAATATATCTACATGTATATTCCTAAACATCTGTGTGTATGGGGAGAAACAGTAGATTGATGGATGTTTAAATCAATTAAAGAACATACAATAAACAAAAAGTGATATCCTAGAAGGCTATTCTCACCAAAACACATCTTCATATAGGTTTTAATATTTAATACTTAGTATTAGGCTTCACTTGGAGTATTGTGTTCAGTTTTGGTCTCTTTATCTAGAAAATGGTACTGATTTATAAGAAAAGGTGCAGAAGAGGACTGTTAGGATAATTCCAAAGATGGAAGGCTTCTCTAAGAGTTGGGTTAAGATCTCTTAACTCATCTTCTCTTGAGAAGAGAAGGGTAAGCGGCATTCTTGTTGAAGTTTGAAAGATTATCCTGGGTATCAGTACAATAAAGATCTCTGATCATTCTATGCTCTGAAGCTAACATGACAAGAAGTAACTAGCTTATAATGTGCTAGACTTCACTTAAGAGTGTTTTATTTTTTTTTTAACAGAGTGACTGACATATGGAATGACAACAGTAGAGGGCAGCACTTTACAGGAGATTAAGGTTAAAGAGTGGGTTTAAATTTTTACTTTTCTTCAGGGTATATGTTGTAGGAACCAAACTGTCCATTGTCTGAAGATTATGTTATGATATTCAAATACCCATATATACTTTTCTTTTTAATTCCAAGGGTTTAACAAAGCAGTATTTGGCCCACTAGACTCGAGGGTTTCATTTAGTAGAAAAAGTACCAGTTTTACCCATAATACAAATTAAGATTTATCTGGCCAAGCCTATCATTTGTTTTAGTGTAATGTTGGACCTTCTTGTCCCCTGTTTGTAAGTTTGTTTGTTAGTTCAGCATTGTATATGTACACGTGTGGATTTATTTTGCATTGTCGCCTAGCAACAAGCAGGATTAAGTTATTTCAACTTCGCAGGGGCCAAAAGTTACTTTTATTAACATCATAGCCAATCATACTCTTGGTAGTTTCCAACATGTGATGCCAGACATACTACGTAAATTAGAATCCCAATTATGACCAATAAAAACATTAGAATAAAAATTGCAGGTTCAGTAGGAAATCATCCATTATTCAGCTGGAAATAAAGGTATGGAAAGACAACTACTGTGAACAAGTGTTACCCAATTATCCTTTAATATTTATTAGACGTCCCCTGATGAGTATACATAATGCAAAACTGAAGTGACAGCTAGAAACTTTTTGTCGTGAGATGCGAAGAAAACAGACTGGCACGACTGTGCAAGTATTTATGAAAAAAAAAAAAAGAGTTCTAGTGATATTTACCGACTCTCTTGTAAACGTTTTTGTACCTTTGAAAAAATTTCAATAAGCATTTCTGATCTTTTTTATAAATGTTACGTTTTCTTAATAAAACCCCTGTAGGTTATCTCATTTCTACCCCAAACTACATGTAGAAACTCCATTTCCTATATCCAATCCTGATCTCTAAAATACTCCTACAATATCCTGACACACTGCAGCTTCTGCCACACCGAAAGACATTTTAATCATGTCAATTCATGATAGTGAAATATGATATCATGAAAAAAAATTCAACATGAATTCACCACAGGGATATTTTGCCTAATATATTTATATATATATGTTATATTTTTTCTTGAGAATGTTACTGATTATCTAGATAATGGAAATGGCATGGACATGATGTACTTAGATTTTCAAAAAAAGTTTAAGATATGTGCTGCACAAATGATTAACTCGGAAAACCACGTCAGTTGGTGTTGGGCAAACACTAGTTAAACGAACTATAGGATGGTTATATGGGAACAACACAGATGGTTGTTATTAATGGATTCTAATCAAACTGGATATTAATTACTAGTGGGGTGTCTCAGGGGTCTGAGAGTGGGCCTTTGCTTTTTCTTATTTACATTGATGGGAGTATAATTAGTAGTCTGCATATGACATTCAACTTTTGGGTATTTTTTACTGCATTGAAGATGTTGACATATTACAGAATGATTTTGATCAGTTAGAAAACTAGACAGATTTTTGGAAAGTTACAGTAAGTGTATGATAATATATTTGTGTTACAATAATTTGGATCATATGCTTAATATACATGGGAATCCACTCAATAGCATGACTGACGAAAGAGATCATTGCATTGTGGTGGATAGGTCACTCAAGCTATGAATGCAGAAATAATAGTAAATGTTATAGAATTTTAGAGACTATATGTTTATAGAATTAGTCTGGTAATAATTTATGCCAACAATTTGGATAGCTTCTTGCACAATAATATTTTCAAATTTGCTTATGATGCTGAGATTCTGGGAACAACTGATTCTGTTGAGAATTAACAATGAATACCTGACAGTACAAGTGTCTGAACCAGAAAATGGAAAATTAATTTTAAATCAACAAATGCAAAGCTATGCACTTGGTATGAAATTTGAGAAAAAAAAAAAGATTTATTTCTGTGTGAGTAATAGATTGGTGATAACCCCCTACCCACACATACACACAGAGGATGTAGGTGTTTTTCCTGATAAAATTGTACAACCTTCAACTGCAACTGAGTGTTTAGGGGAGCTGGGAGAGCAATTATAGTTCATAAGAATATATGGCAAAGCAAGGTGACCATTTGGTCCACTGAAGCCATTATTTACCCACAAAATAATAATAATAGTTAATAATTCTATTCTCTAAATTTTTAATTTAACAAGATTACTGCAACCTTGTGTAGCAGGTAGCTCATTTAAAGAACTGTATGCATTTACTACATTAGTTTACCAACAAGTGGAAGCAGTAGAGAGCTGTTGGAATGATACATGGCTTAAGTAACTTAAACTACAAGAGAAATATTGGATTTGTTTACTCTTAAGCTCAGAAAAGTTATAGGTGACTTGATTAAGATGTTCAACATTAATATGGATTTTGGCAGTCTTCTTACTGATGGCCTGAGTGAGAAAATTAGAAAGCTGGAAATACACCAAGTCTTTAAAAAACTCATTAAATGATTTAACTGAAGACATATGTGTAGTTACTTTCAATTATATAAATTTGGTGTTGATGTTTTAATTGCTTGATTGGTTGAATAAAGGATCGATTGAACTTTCATTACATTGTTGTTTTTTTGGTTCTTATATATATATATATATATATATATAAACCTGATGAAGTACTTCCAAGTTGTTTGTTTCATCACAAAAAGTCTCTAACTAACAGAACTGTATCAATCACAAAATAAAAACTTCCAAGTTGTTTAATTCATTACATAGTCTGTAACTAACAGAACTGCATCAATCACAAAATAAAAATATTTTTAAATGATTTAAGATTGATGCTTATACTCCCATTAACTTTCATATTGTTACGACAGCGGAAGTCACGTGACACTAGTAACACATCATAAGATTCTAGAAGGATCATGACTGTTTGTGGCAACTCTAGTCTTTTCTAGGCGCCCTCTATTTTAGTATATAAGCCCGGCAAATAAAGCGAAGACATAATAGCAGATTGAAGAGATATAGTAACAGATAAGTGAGTCAAGTGAGCAGTAGTGACCATAAGTTAAGTGCATGAATTATAGCGTGTGTTTAAGTTAAAGTGAGTGGAAATTCTGTGTAATGCAAAGTTGTATCGAGAAAGAATAAACTAGTTTTAATTAAGAAAGGACTTGTATAGCTGAAGTTCTTCGGAAAGAATTTTTACAGGAAATTAACAAACGAACAGAGACATAACAATATGTTTGTGTAGCCCAAAGACTTAGAATGTTTGAACATGTATTTAAAACAATGAAAGGCAAAACTTTCCAACCAACTGCAAGAAACTT